GTTATGTTTTGAATGGATTCGATTTTCCTGGGATAGCGTGACAGTGAAACTAGAGAGTAGTCTATTTTACAGTTACAAATGTAAATTGGCAGAGGCTGGAGTTCGCCTTGTTTTGATATAACCCTTCTTCCCTTTTTGAGTTAATCAAGTTCTTGGGCTAACTAGTTTGTTTAAGCATAATTTTCATCAGAAAAGGAAGGAGGTTTGTATCAAAAGGTCAATCTCAGCCTCACGTACACTCAGAGGCGAGGGTACGAAGCTCATAACGGTAAAATTGTCTATTCTTGGTTTGCAACTACGTGACATGGCGGCCATGTTGGTTGTCAATACAATAAAAATTATTTTAAAGAATTTACACGAAAATGGAGTTTAGTTCCCAGAGAATAGAAATGTTTTTGTTCTTGACCAACAACATGGCTGCCATGACGTCACGTGCCATTCAGCAACACTCATGGTCATTTGTGCTGTTTTACTTCGCTTATCAGGTTTCAACCTTAAAAGACCAGCTCTCTAAAGAAATACAAAAGAAGCAGTCCTATATAACACGTACTGCGCAGAAATCAGACGAAATCCGTGATCTCAGAGGTAAACTAGAAGACTCGCTTCACACAGTGGCTCGTGACACGATGTATGAGCCTTCGATTCTGGAACGAGAGTCACAGAGACTTGAAGACTCCGTGGATGCGAGCTTCTCAACTTCGCCCATGCGCCGGACTAAGTCTGCCTCGCCTCCAGTCCGATTCCCTTCCGACAAAGTAGCAACAAGCACTCCAGCGTACTCGGGACTGTCGCCATCTCGCCGAACAACTCCGATATCATCGTCGGTGGCTCGTCGTACAACCCCTGGAGTGAGCCCTCTGCGCAAAACTAGGAAGTCAACTACATGAACGTTTTATTTTCAAATTTAGTTCTTAAGCAAGATAATTCCAAGGATTTATTTTTTTGTTTTGGGTAAAGGGAAAATCACTTGTTTTTAACTCATTTTTATGGCTTTAAAAGGCTGTAAGCGGATTTTTCACACTTTTCCTTCTTATATACCATGGGTACCAGAGTTTTTTTCCCCTCGCGTGTGGCGGGATGCCTTGCTGTCGGCCGACACATCTTCGGCCGAAGTCACTTCACGGAATCCGGAAACTGTGTGTGGAAAGTCTCTTGCGCTCAGAGTTCTTTGGGCGCATTTTATTAGTTTTTTGGCTTGGCGTTCTTACTGTGTGTATGCGTGAAAAGTCAGCCTTTTTGCTTGTTGTTCTTACCAATGTTTTACCAGAACGCCCTAAATTTTTTGTTAATGTTCACCAACATTTTCTTGGAATCTTTTGAAAAAAAGTTATTTCTCATATTTAATTTTACTAATTTCATTCGTTTTTAGGTGACTTTGATTGAAAAACAGATAAAGATTTTAAATAGGTAGATTGAAAATCTAATATATTTTAATGCGATTCCCATACCGTGTGTGGTAAATGATTTGAACATCTAGAGAATGCACTACAATAGGTTACGTCATTGTTTACATTTTTCCTCATTAGCGTACTCTTAAACTCATAGAAGCCGTGGCCGTATAAATGCAAAAGTTGAAAGAGCTGATTAAGTTGAGCAATCTGTGCAATTTTTCAGCTCTTTGCAAGCAATATTGAAGGAAATATCAGCCATCAAAAACTGCGAAATTGCTGTGTGACAAAAAAGTTAATGACCCATACATTCTCCGTAAATTTTCGAGTTTTTAGAAGGGAATTTCTCCGAAACCGTTCTGTGTATTGGGCTCAAATTTTCAGAGATAACTCAAACTGTTATACCCTTTCAATATTCAGAGTTTTTATTTTATTAGCGTCAACAGTTAGTGATAAGCATTTGTTAACGAGGCAAAAATTGTAAACAAAGATTTGCCTCGGTCGCTTACACTTACCATGTTTGCCGGGGATGTCTTGTAATGGTTTGAAAACAACGTCATGCACAATTCTTGTACGAGGGTTGCGTTACACCCTAAGAGTGACAAGTGAGTGTGGCCGACTTAGATAGTGTTTAAAGAAAACTGATTTTTAATCACGTTTTATTATTTTCAAATAACAGTTTCTTTTTAATCTCAAACGTGCCTATTTATTTGTAACCTTGCTTCGCCAAGGCATCGCACGAATAACTTATTTGATGTAAGTGGCAAAGAGTGATTCTAAATGTAACTTGACAATAAAGTGTTTGAAATAACTTCCTGTCGTTGTTTAGTTTATATCAAGCGGACTTTTAACTGTCTGAGTGTGAACTGAATTTCACCAAAATTTTGCGTTGAATGGCGACCTTCGCCAACCTCGGGGAGAAGGACTCCCCTACTTTTAATTCCTCTAGGCTTCTTCTTCGTTGGTGTCTTCTCGCATGTTCATTTTAAAATAGAGATTTTTTTATTTGCATACTTTGCCACTGATGTATTCAGTGTTTTCGCTAGGCTTTCTAGAGCTAAGTAGAGCATTCGACAAACAGTCAATCTTTCTATTTTGTTATGAAAAGTTTATTTACGTGGTATAAGGGACATTGAAAATCAGTGGTGTAAGGTCTTACTCACTAAGTAGGAGCGAGAGGTTTTTGTAAATTGCGTTGAATCTGATTTTCTGTCGGTAAATTTAGGAGTACCATAAGGGTCGATCTTAGATCCGTTCCTTTTTCTAGTTTGTTGTAGTTGGTACAAATGATATTGTTAGACTATTTCCCAATGATACTTCCCTGACTGTGACTGATAAGGACTTAGACATATATTGCTACGACAAATAGGGTTGGTCATTTAAAAAAGTCTAACTTAATAGGCCGCGGTTTAAGATCTCTTCCCAAGTGGGTTATTTTAAACGCAATTGTCGGGAAAATTACCGCTTTTTTAAGTTTCCTATGGTTTATTATAGCATGAATGTTAAATGCTTTTCTAGTCAAGATATATGGAGACTGTTTACAGCCCCATTTTTCCGTAAAATCGTCCTGATCGAGCGCTTTGCGTTACGGACAGCCAGCCATCTTGAATGACTGTCAAATCGACTTAGGGTACATATGAAACCAAGATGGCCGCCTGTACCGGTTAGCGCTGGATCTTGACTATCTTACAAAAAAATAGGGAACTCTGAACAGTCTACACTATTTGCTTTCCTGAAATTGCTCACGATAAACGGTATTAAGAAAATAAGGTTTGGCAAACTGACAATGGCTTTGAAATAACGCGCTTTTGTTAAACACTAGCTAAACTGCGTTCTGACCCATAAACACTGAATTCATTTATGAATGGTAACGTTTAAATCTCGGTTTTTCAACCGCGACAAAAAAAATCAATTGTCATTTGTACCCCCTCTCAAATCTTTGAATATCAGATATCAAGGAGATGGGTCCGGCTTTGACTGCTTCTTTTCTTAGCATGACCAGATTGATAAAATAAGAAAAGTGTAAATATCATTGCAAAACTGAAGCGACAAGTAAAAGCGCAATCTTTGATATGTGTCGTATTAAATTTTCAGCGTTCCCGATGTGGAGTTTATTTCGAAATCACATTTCTTAATCACCTTGACAACAGTGACTGTAGATAACGTGTAAATATTATGTTATACAGAAAGATGTTCAATGTTCCAATGTCTCTCTTATTTTGCTACCAAGTTGTACAGACTTTTTTTTCTTATGGTGGCGTTTATTCGAGTAAATACGGTCTTTATTATGCACTTTATTTTCGCTATCTAAACTATGGTTGTGTGTTGTGGGGTAATTATTACTTAGATCCAGTATCACAACTGGTAAAACTTGACGAAGTTGTTAGAAATGCCAACAACGTAATGACTTCGTGACCATGTGATTTCTCCCCAATTGTGTATGTACCTTAGCCTCATTAAGCTTTCTGACATTGTTACATTAAATACCTGTCAACAACAGTATTTTTATTATAACACCATATGTAAAAAGCCGTCTAATTTCAAGCCTTCCCTCATATATGACTAATGAGCAACATAATTATGACCCAGGGAAGTGCATTCATACAGCATCTAAATCCTAGCACTTTTAGAATAGATAATTAAGAGCATTTTGTCCCAAAGTTGTAGGTGTTATGACTGGCTGGAATGATATACCTAGGCATATAATATACGCTAAAAGCGAACTAGACATTATTATTTACATCTGTAAAACAGTACTGTACCAGTATTATATTACTTGTGTGTTTTCCCTTTTGTTCTCTCGTAATTTTTTTCCTCATTCAAAATGAAATCTAATACTAACAGAGCAAATAATTAGTTCTACTATATCTTGCCCTTCCCAATCTTTGTTGTAATTGGTGTCTCTTCACTGGTGTACTCGAAAATAAAACGGAGAAAATAGAATACAAAAAAACAAAAAAACAAATAAGAAATAAAACTTATCTCAGGGGCACCAAAAGACTGTTTTCTGTGAAATATCTGGTCAGAGAAGAAAATTTTGCCTAGAATTTTCAGTTACTTGAGGACGGCTAAGAATTTCTAGATGACCGTCCCACTCCTATTAATACCATTTTCGAAGCTTATCGAATAAATTCCCTACGATTTTCTGAAGTTTAATTTGCACTTTTCACTTCCAAAGTTAGCCTATTTTTCGTAGAGTGAAAGGAGACCTAAAATATTTGGATTTAAAAATGCAATGGAGAGAGAAATCAGAAAATGTCTCACTTTCGTAATACGTCAAATTACAGCTAAAATTTTCTTGAAAATAATACTCAAGTCCTTGTAATTTCGAAAAGACTCAAGTTCCCCTAGGATGACCGAACAGATATAAATTTTACAGCGCCGCTTAGAATGCTTTCCAGATATCTAAGAGTACTCTGGATACCCTAAAAAGTGTTATCAATGTATTTAGGGGGAAACCATCGTTGGGCGCGGCCCCTGTTATCTATCCTATAATATACATTCACTTTCATGAATTTTCTAATTCAGTCTGGATAGCAAGTGCATGAGAAAATGGTGAAAAAATAACAGCAGTGCATGCCACAGCCGAGGGACGAGACCGCAGAAAAAAAATTAGACTCCCTGGTTGTTTAAACTTCTCTGCAGAAGGAATTTCACAGCTTCAGTTTTGACACTAGACGCTGCAACCATTAGGGGTGTCTTACCCTTATGGTCTTTAGATTCAATGTCAAGTCCACATGAAAGACACTTTTCAATCACAGTGATGTCACCTCCTTGCGCAGCATAGTGCAAAGCATTCCTACCAAACGTGTCTTCCAAATGCGGATCTGCACCCTTAAGGAGAAGGAAGTCTACAATTTCAGGCTTCCCATCAGAAGCTGCGAACATTAAACCTGTCAGACCTTCACTGCTTCGCGCGTTGATGCTGAGTCCACTTGCAAGAATGGCCTCCATTATGGGAACAACGTGACTTGCAGATGCAGGGTTTACAACAGCAAGGTGCAGTGAGTTGACTGGTGAAGAGCCATACTCCAGTGTTGCATCAGCCCCCTCTTTAAGAAGATACTTTACGGCCTCCAGGTTGTTGTTCACAATAGCAACCATTAGAGGTGTCGACTTTCCATACGTACCTTTCATATTAACATCAAGTCCGCATGAGAGGATTTTTTCAATGATGGTAGTATTGCCACCTTCACAAGCAAAATGCAAGAGGCTCCAACCACTATTGGCTGTTAGCGTTGGATCAGCACCTTTCTCAAGAAGGTAATTTACAACTTGTAATTTGGAGAGTGCTGCAGCGCACATTAATGGTGTGTTGCCTTCATCATCTCGTGAATCAATGTCCACACCAAACGAAAGCAATCGCTTTATAATATCAGTGCAACCATATTGAGCAGAAATAACTAAAACATTTCTGCCTTTTTTGGTTGTCATAAATGGATCCGCTCTATTCTTTAGGAGAAACTCTAATATCTCCAAGTTGTTTTGGGAGGCCGCTATCATTAATGAAGTGACTCCATCATTATCAGTTGAATCAACAGGAATGTCACGTAAAAGCATCATCTCCACAATGGAGACATCACCGCCTTCAACAGCAGCATGAAGTAAATTTCTTCCTTCGTTGGTCACTGAAGTTGGGTCAGCATCTTTCGAGAGCAGGAAATCTACAGCTTGCTTCTTACCTGCAGCAGCAGCAACTATCAACGGCGTTCTGCCTAAACTATCTTTTGAGTTAACATCAAACCCCAGGGAAAGCATCATTTCAATGATTGATACATCACCACCCTCAGCAGCACTGTGTAGCAAATTCCAGTCCCTAATTTCAGCTGGTTTGCACTCCTTCCCACTGTTGCCTTTGTCTGCAGTCTTACCAGCTTCCAAATTTGGAACAGTTGTCATGGGTTTCATTGAATCAAGAAAAAAAGAAGGCATCGGCCAGTGCTTTAAGCCTTTCAATGTGCCACCTGGAGCCGATGGTGCTGAATCTAAACAACAGAACCATTCCATTAAAATAACAATAAATATTAAAACAGTACTAGATGACAGTCCAATTCATGTTACACTTCAAAATTATACAGCAAGTGACTCAGTATTGCATACTGAGCTAGTAAACCAAACTACCATGCAAGTAGTTAGTTTATTTTGTTATGGACAAGGTACCAGAAATATTGTGACCTGTTCACTACTATTTTTGCATTCGTCTAGCTCTATGGCCAATTATTTTGCTTAATTTTATATCAATAAACCATGATTATAACAAAGGCCTCAGTTAAACAATAAAAAAGGAGACTTTTCACTGTAAAAACTAATGAGGGCTGTGCTGTAGCAGAGCCCAGTGGCCCACCCTGGCGCTTAACATTTGCTCTTCATGTGTGACTAGAAAATCTTAGTTTTTTCATACAAATCAAATGCTGGGCACCCCAGATTTTATAGGTTCAGAGCACTGAGCTCAGTGTTCTCCTTATCAGGAGGTAACCGGTAAAATTTACCGTCTGAACCAACACTTCTTACCATTTGCAACTGCTTGAAGGTTTATTAAAATTAAATAAGTTGTTTTAAAAAATACGCAAATTGTGATCCGATCTGATCAAGGTAATGAATGAATTTATGGAACTGTACTTAAGTATGCACAGCTTTTCTTTTTATGGGCCATGCACTTTGGAAAGAGAGCATTGAAGACAGAGTAAAATTATTGGAATCAAACGTTTTAAATTGTTGTCTAAAGATAACAACGGCTGATTTGCGTAAAATAGGTCGTAAAATGAGGGAATGACATTTCAGAGAACTTAGCTCCTGAATTTCACAGCGAGGTCGAAGCCATGTCCCTCACTCCACTACCCCCTCCCCCGAGGAAAGTGCGCCTCTAGCACATTTTTTGCCTTACTGGGCATGAATGGTCCCTTACCTGCTTAGCTAAAATTTAGGAAGAACACGGTGAGTTCCCTTCAATTTTCCTTAGAGCGCAGCCGTGACAATTCCCTCATATCCTGAAACAGTTGAACCTCCACAAACAGCCACAGTCTCCACAACGGCCACCTCTCTACAATGGACAATGGCCAATTTTATGGCGAACCGTCCTCCTCTCTAGAATGGCCACTTTCTTCTGTCCCCAAGGTGGCCATTGTAGAGGTTCAACTGTAGTTATTGGCTTAGCCCAGCTGGCCCCACCCAGAGCTTTGGCACAGCTAACAAGCTGGTTTGGCATTGAATACTGTCATAATTAAAGTTGTTTGCTATTGCTGTGAAACTCCTAAAACCCGTCAACACCAGAAGTATTTCTGGAAGTCATTGTGTTGCAAATTAAGGGACAAGCCTATCAGGCATGGGAAAACTAAACCCCAAGCAGCAAAGGTAATTAGTTCATGGTTTACTGGCTTGAAAATATTTCGTATTGTCCTGACCTTTGCTGTGGTTGGTCATAACATAACATTTTAAAACTTTTCCTGGAATTCAAGGTTTTATTAGTTTCAAAATAAGACCAAATGCCATCGCAAATTAATTAATATTAAACTACTAATACCTGCATTTTCAATTTTGACATTCTGAGCCTAATCAAAAAAGTTTTTAAAAAAGGCTAACAGTTACCCATTTTGAGAACCTGCACATACATTGTAAATGTATATTAAACTGGAGGGACACAAGGGATATGATTACGCTGCAACTACTGCATGCGAGGCCACCTAGACAAAATTGACCAATCGGTTTAAAGGAAAATAACAATACATTCCAAGAACCTTATGTGGTTATCAACAAACGAAAGGAACAAATTGAAATTTACCAATTATTACAAGCTTAACACAGTACGTGACCTGCTGAAGAGAATCTTGTGCATTTCATAAGAGTGACTGATAGTAGCAAAAAACGTGAACATTGCTTTAATTTTTGAAAAGGGCAGCAATGTTAGCAAGGAAATATGATTGTGACAAACAAATATGAATCGTGAGCATAATACAGAAAATATTGTCGTGATAAATTTTGCTTTCTTGGAATTAAACTTAATTCCACTATTAATATTCACAATATTTTTGTGCTTGACCTAGCTTTTTGTTTTCTTACGAGCAGCTGATTAGCTTCAAAAACTACTTCCTCAGAATGCATTATTATTTTCCTGTAATCGTAGGGCTGTCACTAAGTGCCGGGGGCCGGGGATTTTCCCAGTCTACTATGAACGTGGGCTTTGGCTACTCTTATAGGAAACAAAAGGAGAATAGAACCCATTGAGGTTTCTACGAACCTGCCCACTTACCCCTCCCCTAACCCAACATTTTGCAATAAGTGAGAAGTAAGTGTTAATCTTGACTCAGGGGAGGGATAGGTGGGCACAGCTTTCAGAAATCTAAATTGATGCAAGAACTTCCAAGCTAGACAATTTCCTGCCTGCTGATTGCATTTACCCGGAAACTGGAAATTTTAGCAACAGCCCTGTAATCCAGTTGGTAAATTTTGTAAAAAAAAGTGGCCTTGGTTAGAGTGCTGTCAGTAGTTAAACTGTAAAAACATCCTTTCACATTGCATACCATTTGATTCAACTGCAACTGCACTGGCCGGCCTGTCAGTTAGATCCTGCACAATTTTTTTGAATTTTGCACACTGAGTGTCCCAAGAGTAAATCCTGCGATACTCTTCCCTAAGACGAACCGCACCATCACATCTCTCTTTTGGATTCTGGATGGAGAGCTGTGTTATCTTCTGGAGCCACTTCTCCTGGTTTCCTGATTTTACAACTGCCAAATGCCCACCTTCCACTTTCTCCAAAGCTTTAGCAATGCCAGATTCACTAGTAACAAGAACAGGAACCCCTGCAGAAATAGCTTCAAGGGCAACCAATCCAAAGCCTTCAGTGTGAGACGGAAGAGCAACCAAGTCTGCTTCGAGAAACATTGTCTTCAGCTCTTCTTGATCGCAGTATCCACGAATAGTCACTTGATCACGTGTTATTCTTGTTGTCTCTAGTAACCAATCCTCTATTTTTCTATGTTGACCCTCCGGTGAACCGACAAATGTCATTTTAAATTTCTCTCCAAGAGAACCTACTGCATCAGCAATAACATCATAACCTTTCAGAGAAAGGTCCTCAAAAGTTCCTCTACCAAAGACAAAGATGTGGAACTCGTCTTGATCATTTGTCACTTTTCCAACCCTTTGCTCTGAGAGGCCAGTAAATTTTTCAGAAATTCCAGGTGTAATGACATGAACCTCCCTGTCTGGGAGACATCTACTGTACTTTTGCTGTAATCTTGTTCCCACAGCAACCACAGCATTGGCTGCTTTGCAGAGTGCAATTTCGCTTTTATGCTTCTTCTCATTTTCTTCAATTGTATCAGTGTTTTCTGCATCCGCTTGTTTGTATTTTCCAAGGTCTTCACAAAACACATGCACAAATTGCACCCATTTGCAGTTTGTAGTTTTTACAATGCACCAGGCAGGGATGCCAAACTTCCTGCTGTGGCCAATCACAATATCAGGATGTGAAAGTTCTGTTGGAGGAACCCTAAGCCAATCCAGGAGATCTGAGGTTCCAGGTATGCTTGTTGCAGTGATTAAATTTACATCATTTTTTCTAGCGTCTTCTCTATCTGATTCAGTACTTCGAGAGACATAGCAATGGACTTTGATCTCGCCATTTGATATTTTGGCTAAACTTATTGCAAATTCTCTATTGAAAGTAGGCAAACCTCCCTTGGACGACATCCACTCTTCACATAAAAACATGACATTGATACATTGTGACTCACTGCCACTTGTGCTTGGCATGCTTGGTTCATGTCCAAATGCTTCAGGGTGAGTTCTCTTCATTTCTGTTAATCAACAAACAGAAGATTACTAAGGCAGCATTCACACCTGGTCCCCGTGCATTTCACCGGCTGAGCACTAATGTGAACACACCCTTTTTCAAGAACCCACACTGGAATTTGGGCATGGTGCCATTGCCTGAGTACAAAGTCAATTTTTTACACACCAATGTAATTTCTTAGGCAGTCCACTGCTTTGTACTCATTGCTAAGCTCATGTTTCAAAATGGCATCTGAGAGGGACAAATGGAGTAACTATTTACACAGCCACATATCAGGTAATCAAGGTATGAACACAATACTGAGGGCCTCCCAGGGGTTTTAGGGAACAAGGGAACATCGCCATTTACTTTTAGGGAACAAGGGATATTTCAAAATAACTTTTAGGGAACAAGGGAACTGTTGAGGGATATTCGGGAACAAGGGAACATTGACTTTCGACCATTTTCTAACTTTTGGAGAGATTTCCATTAACTGTTTATGAAGACATTTCCGACGTTTCTGTAATTTCACGCATTTCCGACGACTAAGCCTGGCGACTAATCTTCACAAGTGAACTGGTGACGACTGGGG